AGCTCCTTAACCTACTTACATCTGCCAAGACCCTTTTTCCAAATAAAGTCATATTCACAGGTTCTGGTGATTAAGGCATGGGTATATTTTTATGGGGACCACCATTCAGTCCACTACTAAAATATATTTTGAAACTACAGTGAACTGGCTTTAGAAGATATATTCCTTTAGGAGCATAGAATGATAAGTTAAAGATTTTAAGTAAACTATGACCTGAATGGATGCATAAAAGTTAACGGTATAATGGAATTTAGGTAAGATTGTCCTAGTTCATAATAAGCTTGGGTGAAAGGACTTTTACCGGACATTGATTGTAACAGCGATGTAAAATACTCCATATTCTGAGTACAGATATGATTATTTTAATATTAACATCCAAGTCTGAATAGCTCTGAACTTTTACCCTGCTTATTTGCAGTGAGCACAGTCTTCCTAGAACCACCCTGGCTCAAATATTTATGTAAATCCCCAAGTAGGAGTAGGACATGGCAGTGAGTTGATTAACACAGTGAATCTTACACATTTTAAAGACTTGTTAGTTAAGTAGGAAATCAGAACCCCCTTGAGACTAATTTTAAGAGGGATATTCCAAGGCAACTAGCAGCTGGACTTCATAAATATTGGCCTCCACTTAAGTTCTTGGGAAATCCACTACTGCATCTAACATTTGTGAATGTTATAGTATTGGAGAATGCCACCTGTTTTGCCCTGCATCTTAGGTCTAGAGTCCTCATCATTGCCCCTTTGTAGTAAAAAGAGAAAAGCATCACTGTATTTGAATAAGGCAAAAGAATGATGCATCACCTGTGTAATCCATAGCTGGGTCCTCAGTTAGATAACCCAAGCTCCCAGGGGTTGCAGCAATTCAGTGCTTACCAGACCAGATATTGGTAATAAGGTTCTGGTACCAACTAACACACTTTTTTCAGACTCACTAATGGCCTCCAACAATTTCAACCTTGGTGGGGAAGCTCAAGCAGATGTCCAGCCTCCCTACTCTCAGAATCCTGTTTTCCTTTTCTGCAATCTCATCTTCAACATAATTCCTGTTTTTCAGGCAATCTGTTATATCTCTGAGTATAGAGCTCTGGAGGTCAGAATTCTATTCCCTTTTGTCCAAAGCTGCTTCAACCCTTATGCAAAAGAGGGATAGAAATAGACACAGAAAAGTTATATATTTTATACCTTCACTTGGTATCAGCCCCTACCCACATCCCCAACATATTTTGTAAATTCCTTGGAAAAATATTATGTCTAAATAAATTGTGCTTCAAGACAAAGAGGAATGCAATCCTTACATTACAGGGACAAAAAGAAGTACGAGGATCAATGAGTGATGACCCACTGGGAGGCGTTCCCATGGGGAAAGAGTCAAAGACTAGACATACAGAATTCACTTCTCCCCTGAATCTTATCTTCTGGAGTTCATTTCTTTTGCAACACTGAAGACACTTGGAACATCTAAGGATAATAAGTTGGGTCTTCATGGTCGATCTTGGTATGGGAGAAAAAGTATGAACCTTGGAATCAGAGGGACCTAGATTAGAATCCTAATCTACCATTTATTAGCTTTGCTTTCTTAAACAAGTTGCTTGGATTTTTTTTTTTTTATTTGGACCATCATTAAGTTGAAAAAAAATACTACTTGGGCGCCTGGGTGGCTCAGTTGGTTAAGCGACTGCCTTTGGCTCAGGTCGTGATCCTGGAGTCCTGGGATCGAGTCCCGCATCGGGCTCCCTGCTCGGCAGGGAGTCTGCTTCTCCCTCTGACCCTCCTCCCTCTCATGCTCTCTGTCTCTCATTCTCTCTGTCTCAAATAAATAAATAAAATCTTAAAAAAAAAAAATACTACTTAACTGAAAGCATTGCAGGAAAGATTAAATGAGAATTGAAAACTTTGAGCTTTTTCATAATAAGAATTCATTACCTTATAATTTAGTTTAAACTTTAATAATTTATATAGATAAAATTTCCATGGCATCTTTAACTCAGAGTATCTTTGTTGCTAGACCCACCTCTTTGGCTTGTTGTCTCTTCATCTTGGGATTCTCTGGCCTGCCATAAAGTTTGCTCCCTGATAAGTTACATGATGGGTGCTGAAGATTTAGATGAAAATACAGTCATTTTCAGAAATCTCTCTTTAAATAAATACACAAGATCTATATTCTCACCTTTCATTTGCCTTTAAAAATAAACCAATATAGATAGAACTTAAAGACACAGTTAAATACTAGTTTGAGATCACTCAACTCATTTGCATGGATGACCTCTACTTGAACTCATTTCTCTGGAAATAAAAGTTTAGTGCACTAGTAATTCAACTTAGAAAGTAATTGGAAGACTTCAGCAAATGAGGAAAATTCTAATTTTAAAGGGACTGGGAACTTAATTCAAATGAAAAAAGCTTCATTGATGACATGAGTTAATTGTGCAGTTAACATGAAATAACCTTACCTAGCATTATGAAGACTCAAAGCGTCAGTTTGCAGGTATCAATGATTAAAAGATCTGTAACAGAAAATCACATTTCTTGAATTTTCTCCATGTTGTATAGTGAAAGAGACAGTCAAGGTCACTAGGGAGTCTAATACTTCCCATGAAATCATATAGTAGAACCCCATTATAACCCCCAAATCTAGGCATAAAGGTACAGTTTCTTCAGATTCCAAGATATCATATTTCCTCTTTTTCAGGATCTTCATCTTCTACCCTAAATGTTGTCAATCTCAGGGCTCAGTCCTAGACTTTCTTGTACTACACCTGTTTGGAGACTTCATCCATTTCTCTGGCTATTAATACCATTCATATGCTACTGATGTCCAAACACTCCATCTCTCCAAGGTTGAGTCATGTATCAACCTACCTACTTAACATTACCACTGGGTTGCCTCAAATTCATATCAAAAGTAACATGTTCAAAATTAAATCCTCTCTCAGTTTGGGTTCCCTAGAAGCAGAGCCTCAGACAGGGATTCTCAAGCGATTTATTGTATTGATACTGTTTTAGTGATAGTCAAGTGACTTATTTAGTGAGTGCCCTCAGGGAAAGGGGGGAGGAAAACAGGAGAGGACTGAGGAAAAGAGCTCAGTGAGACTAGCTCCAGCATGGTCTCACTGGGAAACTCTGGAGTACAAATTGTACACTAAGTTGTTTTCGCCTTGAGGCAAGGATGCTGGCCTTTTATAACCACATGTCAGGTTTCTGGATCATCACAAGTGGGATATTGGAGGACATAAATTTCTGAGTACTGCAGTTACTGTTTAACTTGTGAAAATTCTCCAGAGAAGGTAGTAGCTGTGAGCAATTAGCAGCTAACACTCATGGCAGCTGGGAAATGGATATATCTACCACTGAAGCAGGTAATAGCAGGGCACGAATAGCATCCACTAAAGATTCTCTTTTTTTTTTTTTAATTTTATTTATTTATTTGAGGGAGAGAGAATGAGAGAGAGAGAGCACATGAGAGTGGGGGAGGGTCAGAGGGAGAAGCAGACCCCCCCCCCCGAGCAGGGAGCCCGATGCGGGACTCGATCCAGGGACTCCAGGATCATGACCTGAGCCGAAGACAGCCGCCCAACCAACTGAGCCACGCAGGCGCCCTCCACTAAAGATTCTTAATTGACCCTCTCATCAGTGTGTGGCCTAAGTTCTACCTACAACTTATATCTGAAATCCATCCACATCTCAGCCAATTCCGCTTATACCTAGGCCAAGGTGACATCATATCTTACCTACACTGGTAAAATGCTTCCAGCAGGTGCTCCTCCGTCAACCTTAACTCACCAGCATACAGTTTCCTCACAGAAGCCAGAGTCATTTTCTTTCTTTGTTGTTGGTGGTGGTGGTGTTGTTTTTAGTACAAATCTGATCACCTTCAAATCCTTTAATAGCTTCTTATTGCCTTTATAATTAATTTCAAACTCAAGACTAAAATCTAAAAGGTACTTCAGAATTAGGCTTCTGCTTCCAATGCCAACCTTACCAGAGGCCTCTTTTCTCTGTTTTTGATGCTGCCCTTTGGTCCATGCCTAGATTATTAAAGGCTTCTGTCTCATGGCCTTCATTCTTACTGTTTTCTCAGGTGAGAATGCTCTTTCAGATCTCTTTGGTTGGCTCCTCCTCACCACTCAGGCCTCAGATTCAAGGACACTTGTCTGAGAGAGGCCTCTCCTGACCTGCTTAGCTCATTGACAGCACTGATCACAATCGGCAAGGTTATTTTTTTTTTTCTAAAATCCTGACTATTGAATGAGCCAGATTTGGGTATATGAAAGCAGAAAACAACTTTCTATTAACCTTGATCCTTTGACTCATTATCTTCCACAATGGATAATCCCACAGCTTCTATTCCACTCAGATACTAAAATTAAAATCCAGTGAAGCATCTACACTTTAGTTTCTTTGACTTACGCTGTTTGAAGCCTTTTAGCTCTCCCAGCTTGGGCCTGCCTCAGGCTAGAAAGACTGCATTGGACAAAAATGGCTAGATCAGCTTCTTTACTATTCCCCTTGGCTTGCATTCCCTTCCTCTTCCCCCAGGTGTAGGCTCCCTGAACCTTCAGAATTGGAACAAAGCCAGAGCTAGGTGAGATATACAAGGACTTAATTCACTTGAGTCATTGTAACCTCGCATCAGGCCTTCTATGTGCTGTAGGCCTGACTGCTAATTCTTTCTCAAGTTCGGGACTTCTAATCTTCAGTTATCTGACACAGTTAATACCTTAGGTACTGGTTAATTGCACCTCCTTCAACTCCTGGCTTCTTACAACCTACTCCCCCAAACAACCATCTTGGGGTCATCTCACTCCTTTGAGTAATCCCCTTTTGAGATAACATGATTTACAGATCCCTTTTGCAGAGAATATATATGGAGCAGGGACAATGATTCAGCTTTGTACTGCCAAAGCAAAGGTACACAGGATGGTCTCAGCCCATTCAGGATGCTATAACAAAAATACCAACTGGATGGCTTAAAAACACCAACCATTTATTTTTCACAGATTTGGAAGCTGGGAAGTCCAAGATCATGGTGCTGGCCAATTTGGTGTCTGGTGAGAGCCTTCTTCCTCATTGATGGCCGCCTACTCAGTATATCCTCACATGACAGAAGGGGCAAGGGAGCTCTCTGCGAACTCTTTTACAAGGGCATTAATCCCATTCATGAGGGCTCTTCCCTCATGACCCAATTACCTCCCAAGGGCTTTACCTCCAAACACCATCACATTGTGGATTAGGTTTCAACATATGAATTTGAGGGGGTAGGCACATTTAGGCCATAGCAAATACTTTCCAATGAAACCTGCTACCAAAGGTTACTCAAAGGTTGCCTGAAGACTTTCAGCCATGAGTGGTAAGATGTCAGACCCTATGTCTTCCAGACTTCTCTTTCTGAGGATTAAACTTTCTGAGGATGAAATAATCTTCTCCCTTATAGCCTGAGCTGCTTGCTGACAACACCCTGTCCATCACTCTTTACTTCCAGGCCTCTCTTGCTTTCTGCTCTTTATAATCAAGAGGTGAGTTGGCAATAGATGGCAGAATCAATTTTATCCAATCCTCTTGTACAGGCAACCTCAAAGATCTAACACTTTGATTTAGAATTTGGAGTATAGTACACTATTCTCAGCTTTAGGACCTGGAGGGAACTGATATTTAGATTATAATCTTTATTTAGGATTTGAAGAGTCTCAGAAACCAGTCAGTATCAGGGATTTACAACCTCCCACAGTTACCCCCTGGGACTTTTGTTTAAAATGTAGTATTTAAACTTTTGAGTACTTTTTTTTCTACCCCAATTCTTGGTAAATTCTTCCCAAGTCATTCATCTTCTCCTGCTTTCCCCAGAGGAGCTGATCAACATAAAACTGTCTATGTAGTTCTACAAGGTAAGAGGTCCTTGCACTCACCAGGCAGGTTTGGGTCTTACCAACGTTGTCTTACTTCAGCTACTCTTGCATCCCCCTGGGGATTCAGAGAGCCACAATAATAGCTCTGTCTTTACATGAGGCAGAAAAAAGAGAACTAACTGGAAAAATGTCTCTGTTATTGGGGGACTAGTACATCCTACTTATTATAAGAATTATTATTATAATAATATGTTAGCAGACCATCCTGCCAGAATCTTCTTTGTAGTAAAAGTAGTGAACTTCCTCTCATCACTACTTTCCTTTGTCAACACATATTGTTTCTCCAACTAATTAATGTGTATTTTCATGGTCAGAGTGAAAAATAGGTTTTGCAACAAAACAAAACCAGAGGAAGGGTGTCTGTCCAGAAGAACTGAGGATTCTACTCTGGAAGCTCAGCCACCTGATGAGAAGACATCTAGCTTCCTTGAGGGGCTCCTTATGTGTCAGTAATGATTTTGTCAGAGTCAGTACAGGTGAAAATGCTGTGATTGGATGCTTGGAAAAAGGTCAAGAGGAAAATGTATATAGACAATTTAATAAATTTAACACACACACACACATGACACACATTGTCCTTATCTTCTGTAAGACAAAGCCCAGCTCTGAATTTTTTTCCCCAAGTTTCTCCAGAACTAGTGAAAAGAAAAAGAGGAATGAGGAGAAAATTATTCTAAAAAGGAATGAGGGGAAAGTTACTTCAAAAGACATCTGTGGAGACTGTCAGGTTTATTATCAACGTAAGTGAATGTTGGACCTTTTTTGGGAACTGACAAGATCTGAAATAAGGGTAGGAAATCACTGGTCGTCCATAACAAATGAAGTGCCCAGGCCGTAAAAATGAAGGTCTGTGAGTTCTGGTAAAATATCTAGAAACAAAGGAGCACTATAATTCTGCATTAGTACATAGATAGTTTCTTCTTCCCTGAAAACTATGTGGCAACGACAAATGTTTATCCTTTATGTATGGTACCTTATTTTGTTTTTGCAATTTAACTTGAAGTCACACATCCTTCTAACATACTTCTAGCATCTCCCTGGAGCCTGACTGCCCAGATCTGTATCCTGGTTCTACTCAATGCATTTGCTGGCTGCCCATATGGCAAATTTGTGCATACTTGAAAAAGGTGCACTTCTTAAAAAATGTTTTACCTCCATCTGTCAAAAGTGTCAGAATATACTGATTTTGTTAGAATAAAACACAGTACTGCCATGTTCCGGAAAATCATCCTATTCAATATACAAATCTACCATGACTATAATGGGAATGGCAGACCCTTAGATGGGACACCTTTTGTGGTATACAACATATAAAAACCACCTTAGTTCTGCTCTTTTTTATCTATTTGAGCTTATACAATTATTTAACCTTTCTCTGTTTCTGTAAAATGAAGCCAATAATAGGTTTCTGGGGATTAAATTAGTTAATGTATATAAGGTACTTAGGTACTTGGCAAATAGGAAGCATTCAGTAAATATAAATTTTAATCATTATTACTGATGAAGAAATATACTTTGATTAGCCAGCTTCTTCAATGATTTCCAAACAGTAAGGGGAAAAGCTGGGATATGAATTGGGTCTGGTTTCTCTCACCCAGTGTTCATCTTTTTGCCACTGATTCATGACAATTCCTGGTCGGGGATGTGCTGTGTTGTCAAACATCAAATGCTTTGCTTGATCAACACTGACTTTAACTGAATGGAAAGTGGCTGTGTGATAATGTTACTTCAAGGAATAGTATAGATACACATTCTATTGTTTGCATTTAAATTTAAAAAGTATAAATAGTTCCCTCCAGAAAATCAGGTGGTTCTGCTCAGTGTACAGTTCCTTTCTGTTATCTAACTTCTTGTAAAGAATGTCCTGTGTTTACTACCTAATTTGGGACTTATGTAATTATAGCCTGTAAAATATAATCTTTTAGAACTATGTCCTTTTGAGAGTATATGGATTCTTAAAAATCAAAGCCCTGGTCATGGGAAGAAAGTTTGCAAACAACTATGAACCCTGGAATGGCATGGGAAATGGGTGCCCATATTCCAGACCAGACCTGTCTCTCAGTTCATGTTCCCCTTAAAAGCAAAGGAGATGGCCCCTGTGGGAACTGAAACAGCCTCAGAGCATGGGAGGCAGTTCCCCTCTCACTCCTTCTTCTCACAATGTTCCTGCCAGTTCCCCTCTGATAAAAGCCCCCCATCTCATCCCAGCCTGTTAAAAGTAAGCAAGCTTGTCCCTACTTCATATCCTGAAGACCCCCCGCCATATGTATCTTCAGATATTTTGGGGAAATTAACTTCTGACAGCTAGAAATGAACAAAATCACATCTTGTGTGCCTATTCATGGAGCTGCTTGCCCTGAAATTTATTTCTCTGCTTTTCCCTTGCTCTGCTCTGGCACAAAGGGTAAGGAGGCAGTGACAGGGGAAGGTTGACTAACCCCCATAGGCTGTGTTTTCCAGAGTCCATGCTGTGTCCACAGGCACACACTTATGGATGGGTTTGGACAAGGAGGGCACTGATGGAAGGTTGGAGGTTGGTGGGAAGAAGGGAGAAGGTGCCACTTCTCTGCCTATGGTAGGGTTTCCAATATCAGCTGCTTATCCTCTGTGTCTTCAGCAAATCTTGCAATGACCAACTTGGCTCCAGCTTACATGGAATGCCTCCCTCCCCAGGGCTCCAGTGACAACACTCCTCTCTTGTCCCTTCCAACTTGGGATTGTAGGGGCCTCCTGTTGTTGCTCATCTCTGTTGCTTCCCTCTGTACTGAGTAGCTTTATAGAATGCTCCCTGCCCCTATATAACTTTGGAACCAATTCCCTGTGTTTGTTTTACATACTTGGATTGGTTTCTGTTTTCCTGGTTGGGCCCTGACTGATAGAGGCTGATTTTACAAAAGGTGGTTGTGGTGAGGTAGAGTCAAGCATAAACTCACGAACATAGTATGTAGAAGAGAATATGCTGTGAGGAGTATATGTGTTGTGGGAAATGATTCAGATTAAGAATAAGATGTTGCTGGCTCCTAAATGCTATGCTGCAGGAAGGAAGGAGGTGAGTACTCACCAAGCTACTGAGCAACACTCACATTTAGACTGTAACACATCAAAACCACAGTTTTCTTTCATACAAGAATACAGTACTGGGCTTTCCCTCTGAGAATTGCTTTGTACTCAGCGGGGAAGGAATGGACTCCTGCCACTAAAACAAGCAGACTTGTCTTCTCCAGACAAGAAACCTTGTGACACTCAGAATGGCTGGTGGGTGTGTAAAATTCAAAACAATTATTTGAAAGTTGTAGTCCTAACACATAATTCATAAGGTGACAGTGTTTGTCCTGTAAAGCATTAAGGATAGCTGTTTTGTTTAGTCATTCTATAACTCTTGGTAAGTACCTACTATGTTCCATGCTATTTTAGGTACTAGGATAGAGCAATGAGCAATTAAAAAAAATACTCTGGGGGTGCCTGGGTGGCTCAGTTGGTCAAGCATCTGACTCTTGATTTCAGCTCAGGTTATGATCTCAGGGTTGTGAGATAGCGTCCCACGTCAGTGTAGAACCTGCTCAATATTCTCTCTCTCTCTCCCTCTCCCTCTGACCTTTGCCACCCCCAGCTCATGCAAGTGGGCTCTCTCTCTCTCTAAGAAAAAAAAAAAAAAAACTTGTCTTTATGGAGTTTATAATATAGTAGTGAGGGACAGAGGAGATAGACCATAAGCAAAAATATAAGTAATACATACATTAAAATGGTAATATATTTTAGAGAGTAAAATAATACAGGGAAATAAATAGTAAATGTTGGAAGTAGAGGGTTGAAATTTTAAATAGGAAGGTCAGGGAGGGCCTCACTTAGAATGGTATTTAAGTAAAGACCTGAGGAGGTAAAAGAAAGAGTCATGGGTCTTGTGAGTAAAGAGTATCCAGGCAGAGAGAGGGAAAAGGCTTACAGCATCATATTTGGATAAGGTGGACATAATAGAGGAGACTCGAGGAGGAATACACAGTTTCTGATCAGAGTCTCTGGAAGGACAGCATTCTTATTAACTGAAACAGAGCAAAGATGAGATGGAGGAGGTTGAGTTGGGCTTGGGAGATTAGGAGCTTAGTATTTAGACATATTAAATATGATAAGCCTATTGC